ATCTTCTGATAACTACCTAAAGACTCAAAAACCTCCACTACTTAGGCACATATTTCACTGTTAAATGCTAACTAAATAGAGAGACGGGATGAGCTGCTTGCTTTTCATGAATTTAAATTTTTCCTTGGTGCTATGTTGGGTCCAAAGAGAGGTAGAGGTAGGCCGAAGAAGTATCGGGAAAAGGTGATCAGGCAGGACATGGCACATCTTCAGCTTACCAAGGACATGACACTTGATAGGAGACTGTGGAGGTCGAGGATTAGGGTAGCAGGTAGTCGAGCGTATTTCTTTTTCAAACCTGTATTCTTTCCCTTTTCCTGGTCTTAAATTTCTATTACTACATGTTGTTTCTTTTGCTTCGGTTATCTTATTTTTCTAGTTGGTTGCTACTGCTTCTCTTCCATAGCTTCTTCACAGTCGTATTTCCTTTTCATTATTGTTGTGACTATGCTTTCCTTGAGCCAACTGTCTATCGGAAACTGTCTCTCTATTTTCACAAAGTAGGGGTAAGGCCGGCGTACACACTAGCCTCCCCAGACACCTGACATGCGGGATTTCACTGGGTATGTTGTTGTTGTTAAATTTTCCCTTGGTCCACAAATGCCAATGACGGTGATTGAAATTTTATGATCACACAGATTAGACTGAGAAAGGGAGAGAGAGAAGTTACAGGTACTTCCTCTTAACAACAAACGCCCATTTAGATAAAAGATTGATCACTAACCTCCAGGTCAGCAAAGTCAAACCAAGGGCAGCAGTCCAAAATTTCACAAACAAAGACAACTGTATCACGTACAAGGAACCCAGCATCTGATTCCATCATATCTGATACCTTCATAAATTGAAGAACAGAATTATTCCAAGTTTTAGTGCAAATGGAAGATTCCTTCCATACAGTTTTAGACTGACATTTCTGGTTAAGAATAGCCATCCTGTATTTAACCCAAAAATTCTTCTCCGGGTCACTGCCAATAGACTGATCACTCTCCAAATATATACATATAGTGTCAAAAGATTCATATACACCTGCGGTGTAAAACAAGAAGCAAGATTGGTAATTGTCAACCATGGGACGCAGACAATATTAAAATTTTAACAAAAGGGTCTACAGGAAAATACGCACCAATACGAAGCTCACATCCACCTGCTTGAAAATATTTGCTAAATATTTTCCGTGTTTCCATTATCTCCTTGAAGAAAAAAAAGTTCTCCACCTTCCACGTAAAAGAGCTTTTTTTCCCTGCTTTATCCAGCTGAGAACCAGCCTTTGGTTGGTCAATGTCCTCATCTATCAATTCTTCAATGATGGATGACTCCTTCAAGATAAGAACTTCTGCGGAAAATACAACCATATCCTGAACGAGAAATCCAGAATCTTGATCAAAGAGACTAGTGAGTGTCACAAATTCACGCCAACCCCAGTCCTTTGCAGCTTTAGAGTACCGGTTCTGAGATTCCTTGGTTACTGACTTCTCCTCCATTTTTTGGTTCACAACAGACAAACGATGGCTCACAAAACAACTCCAGTCACTGTTACTATTCCTTGAATCCGTAACTTCAAGAAACACTGAAAGGTGGCATGGTGGCTGAGACTGCCCTGATTCCGTGGACAAATGTAGCACACGTCAGTTATGTCAATTGAGCTTATTTAATTACAAGGAAAAGGCTAAATGTGTGAAGATATACAAGGAAGCTTACAACAACAACAACAACAACAACAACCCAGTATAATCCCACTAGTGGGGTCTGGGGAGGGTAGTGTGTACGCAGACCTTACCCCTACCCTGGGGTAGAGAGGCTGTTTCCGATAGACCCTCGGCTCCCTCCCTCCAAGAACTACCCACCTTGCTCTTGGGGTGACTCGAACTCACAACCTCTTGGTTGGAAGTGGAGGGTGCTTACCACTAGAGCAACCCACCCGTCTATACAAGGAAGCTTCATGTATAAAATATTTTGAGGAACGGGTGCTGATAGTGCTCATGAATTTACATGCTCAACACACGACAGCAGAAGCAATTGAGAGTGCACGAACAAGCAGCATAACACAAAAATTATGACAGAAAAGGTCATTTATGCTGGAGGCAAGAAGTTTGCATGATCAGATAAATACATACATTTTACATGAACACATTTCTCTAATTTCTGTGGAGCCTTGATATCAGATTTACCATAGCAAAATACGGAAGGAACTTGTTTACGTACAGAAACCAAGCCTCACCAACTAACACCATACTAAAAAGGCAATGAAAGCAGCTGTGAGCATACCGGAACATATTTGAGTTTTCATATGTTATGAGATTACTGTAGGGGGCATAAGGCGTACCTCTGGGATAAACAATCAGCCGACAATCCCGGTTTCCAATCTGAAACCTCCTGCTCTTTATGCAAAGCCCCGTAATCTTCCTTTTCTTTAAAATATCCTTCAATCTTGTAAAGTTCTCAATCCTCCATGTAAACTTCCCCATGTGACCATCAGATTTCCTGGAACCACTCCCATTACGCAGCCCAATCAGTCCACCATTCTTTGAAAAGCTACTAAGCTCTTTAATAACATGGAACGAAGTGCTAAAAACAGCAGTGTCATCTACCAAGAACCCTGAATCCGTACCCATAAAATCAACTATTTTCATATAATCATTCCATCCCAAGCTCGTATTATCCCCGCTCTTATTATCAGCAGCAAACCTTCCATAAGAATCCCGATGCATATGATTGAAACCCGCCTTCTGATTTAACACTGACATTCTAAACAAGCACCAACAACTTCTATCCGAAATCAATGTCTTCTCAGTGTCCTTACTCTCTAAACACATCGACAAATACTCAACCCCATTTACCGCGCTCTGATACACACTAATCCTCAAATTACATTCCCCAGCTGGAAAAATCGGGCTCATAATTTTCTGAGTCTTTATCATTTCTTTAAACAAGCTAAAATTATGAACCTTCCAAGTAAATTTCCCACTCAGAACATCCCCAGAGGAACCAGTAACCACTACATTCGATACAGAGTTCGACTGCAATTCATTGTTGTTATCGCGCGAAAAGCTAACAGATTCATTAAGTATAAGTATATCTGCAGTGACAAGAATGCAATCATTGTTGAATAAAAACCCTAATTTAGGGTCTAATATGGAATTTGAAGGAGTGAAATCACACCAGCCATGAGATTTCTTTTTGGAAGAGAAACGATGCCACGAATCACGATGAATGGACTTTGAGGAATCCCTAGGGTTCTCAATGGCAAGACGGTAACTGGCAAAACAGTCCCACTTAGACGACGTCGTATTGCGAGGGTCCATAATTTGAAGGTATACAGAGATATAACCTGGCAATGCCTGTGAGTCACCTTTTGGGTAAACTAGCAAACGGCAATCGAAACCGCCGACTTCAAAGTACTTGCTCCATAACGCCCTCGCCTTTACTCTTGTAAAATTCGCTATCGCCCATTTGCAAACGGCGCCATATTCGCTCCGCCGTTCAACTGTCACAAACTCCGCCGCCGAGGCGACGGAGGTAGGGTCGCGTGTAGCAGCTACGTCCTCCGCCGGCGCCGTTGGTTTCTCCGATGATGACGTGGCAGGTGATGAAGTCATCGAAGGTGGGGCAACGGACGACGGCTGAGATTGCTCGGCTGATGATGAAGGAACCGCCGTTTCGACATCGGACGATAGGTTCTGATGATGGGGGCTGTGGCTGTTTTTCATCCTCTTTTTTTCTTTTTTTTCAATTAATTGAGAAGTAAGTTTATTCCTTCGTCTCTGTGTGTATATTGGTGCGTATATATGTTCTTATTGAGGGATGATGAAAGGAGAAAAAGAGGTGAGAAATGGGGTTTATGCAGCTGCGTGTGATGATAAAAGGGAGAAAGAGAGATTACTACCCTTCTCGTCTTCAAACTATTTTCTCTGCTGCAATTTTTATGTTTAAATTTAAATTAGGTTATGGTAAATCGCCTAAACAAGATCTTGCTTATATGGATGTTTTTTATATTAGAACTAGTTAATTTCCTCGAATATGAAATATCAAAAATTAAAAGGAAAAATTATTATTTTAGTCCCTCAATGTTATCGTCTAATTTTGATTTTGGTTCTTGTGATATCTCATTTAACACATCTAAATTTTAATTAACTAAATTGAGTGATTTTAGTCCTATTACTAATCGAAGTTAAGATTGCAAACATAATATTTGTTACTACTATGGAGGGCAATTTGAGTATTACAGCTAGAATCTTAATTTTTCTATGATTGTATATGTAACCCCATTGACCAAACCATATATGCACATAGGCAACATCATATTCGGGGGGAAAAACCTCATACAACAAAGGCAAATTCATCGAATGCTTCTTGGATACCTCTTCGATAGTGATTTTCCTTTTGTTTTATATGAAAAAAAAAATGAAATTAATTCAAGAACACATGGAATACATTCAAAATCAGAATTTGATTTCTTGTTATTATTTCAGAGAAATGTTTATTATCGAACTCTAAGCAATGGCGTAGCCACTCATTAGTAAGGGAAGCCAATTGACATCTCTTCGTCGAAAAATTATATAGATGGTTAAATTTTAAATACGAAAAAGGGCGAGAAAATGCCCTTAACGTATTAGAAATGGTTCAAAAATGCCCTCATTCCACTTATGAGTTCAAATTTACCCTTAAAGTTATTTTTAGGCTTAAAAATGTCCCTCTCTTAACGGAAAGATGACATGGCATTGATGGGCATTTTAACATTAAGGGCAAATTTGAACACATAGGTGGAAGGAGGGCATTTTTGAGCCATTTCTAATACGTTAAAGATATTTCTGACCCTTTTCCGTTTTAATTAAACATGTAGCATTTATTTAGTTTGAAAAAAGTAAATTTCTTTTTACTAAAAAATGAAAATATTTTTTTTCCAGTTTTTACAAAAAAACTACTTTAAAAAAGCTGAAAAATATTTTCTAAAATAATATTTTTGTAAAAACTGGAAAAAAAACTGAAAAGTAATTTTCTAAAGTAATGTTTTTGTAAAAGCTGGAAAAAAATATTTCCTCTTCTTCTTCCTTCCTTGTTTGTCTATATGCTTTATGAGTTCATTTTTTATATATATTTTAGGTCTTCTAATGAGTTAGTACATCAAAACTGAAATATTTTCGTTTTTTTCAGTTTTTAGTAAAAAGAAATTCACTTTTTTCCAAACTAAATAAATGCTACATGTTTAATTAAAATATCATTTTTCCAGAACTCAGAAAACCAATCTATTCCTAAATAAATGCTACATGTTTAACTAAATAAATGCTACATTTTTCGAGACTAATGAATTTTGTTTTACTAAAAACTGAAAAAAATAAAAATATTTCAGTTTTGATATACTGACTCATTAGAAGAACTAAAATATATAAAAAAAAATGAACTCATGAAGTATATGGACAAACAAGGAAGGAAGAAGAAGAGGAAATATTTTTTTCAACTTTTACAAAAATATTGCTTTAGAAAATTGCTTTTCAGTTTTTTTTCAGTTTTACAAAAATATTATTTTAGAAAATATTTTTCAGCTTTTTTAAAGCAGTTTTTTTTGTAAAAACTGAAAAAAAAATCATTTTTTTCAGTTTTTAGTAAAAAAAATTTATTTTTTTCAGACTAAATAAATGCTACATGCTTAATTAAAATGTCCATCAATGCCATGTCATCTTTTCGTTAAGAGAGGGGCTTTTTAAGCCTAAAAATAACATTAAGGGTAAATTTGAACCCATAGGTGGAAGGAGGGCATTTTTGAACCATTTCTAATACGTTAAGGGCATTTCTGACCCTTTTTCGTTTTAAATATTTATTTATATATACTATATATTAATTTCCCTTGATTTCTTTGCATGCTTACTTATTTATATTTTGAACCCTCTTAGTGAAAATTCTGGCTTCACCAAGATTAGTGCAAATACAACCCAGAGGTAGATTTTGATCCACCCTCGAATCCATTAATGCAAAACAAATGCCAAAATCCGTTACAATGAATCAAACCATGTACGATGTAAGCTTGACCATCAAGAACATTTTAAGTGATTACAGAAACTTCTAACAGAATTCTTCATGATCTATTCGATGCTATAAATAGGAACCATAATACCTCTATTCTTATGCACAGAAATGTACACCAAAATCGGCATTCATTTTATTGTATACTCCTTAAGCTCAGTAAATTCATCAAGAAAGAATAGAATATTATCATGGCTCTTAAATTTTTCGTAAAATTAGATTTTTTTAATAAGCTCTTAAATGTAATACCCAAATTACCCTCTGTAGTAGTAAACGTTCTGTTTGCAATGTTAACTTCCATGAGTAAAAGTACTATAATCACTCACTTTGATTAATTAAAGGTTAAATGTATTAAATAAGATATCACAAGGAGTCAAACCGAAATTATGCAATAACAAAAGGACTAAAACGACTATTTTTCCAAATTAAAAATAAAACAGTCATCTAAGGCATGAGAACAAATAAGAAGGAAAAAACATATAAACTTCTTCAAAAATAAACATGAAATATCCAAAATAAAAAATAAAACACACATATAAGGCAGGACTTATATACAAAAAACAAATATATAAGGAAAATATTATATGTGGAAAAAATAAAATAAAAAATTAATTACAAGAGAAGTAATCTCTCAATTGGAAAAATAAAGTTGTTCCAACTCTCATTATATAAAAAGCAAAATATGTAACGTGCATAAATACTCTTTCCACGCAAAAACTGACTGATCAAACTTTTTTACGAGGCACTCATTCGGGATTTAAAAGTGTCAAGCATATAAGAGGTTTGATGGTGGTTTGTAGGAAGGTCGTCCATAGAACTCACATTCTGTTTGTAAAGCAAGTTTGCTTCTCAATGGATTTCCCTTATATTTGTGGAAATGAAGGCCTCAACATATGTAGCTAAGGTTCTAGCCTTTTTATCTTGTTGGTGATAATGCAATATATCCATCACTAACAGTAATACATCCATAGTAATAAACATCAATTGTGGGGAAGGGAAAGAGAACCGAAATATTAAGAGTCTATATAGAATAAAAATTTATGAAAACTGATTCACGTGTAATGAATTATTGTCGCCAGGAAAAAAACTGATTCTTAATCGTCATTTACCTCTATCCACAAGTTCACTCCTCTTCAAATATATGTTGTAATATATACACTTGTTTCTCGACTTAAATATGATATTATTTCTCCTTTCCTCTATCACATTATAGAGAACAAATTCTTGTAAAGCACCACTAAAATCTATCTAGAAAGTTCCTGCATGGATTTTTTTTTTAAAAAGGCATTATATATATCTTTGGTGCACGAACTACTACGTTTCATATATCGAGTATTTAAATCTTTAATATGAAAGTGCTTCTCCTGCAGTAATAATATAAAAGTGTCATTGTTTACTATAAATACATCTAAATAATAATGTTACAATTCTAGATAAAAAAAATAAAGTATTTCCTTTTCAAGGATAGAGTAAGATATTTTGCACCATACAGTTTATGACTTTATTCCAAAAACGCATTAGTTCAAAAAGGAAAAGAAATTAATCTTCACCAACCAGGTTATGCTCAAACCTCAAGAAGTTTCTTGCGATTAGTCAAAGAAATCGCATGAGAATTTGTTGTTTCTTTCAAAGAGCAGAAACTCAATTTTTCTGGGCCAAAATCTAGTAAGTGAAAGCTTTTGTTTGGCAGAAATCATCGGTGCGGAAGTGACGAACCTTCATCTTCAGAATATTACCAAATTCTCACTCTTTCTTTCTATCGTGGAAGTGACGATCCTTGACGCATCTTCAGAATAGTACAAAATTCTCACTCCTTTTTCTCTATTTGACAATTTAAGAATATTTTGTTGTTTAACACAAAAATATTGGAGTGTTTGGTTATGTTTATCACAAATATTTTTTCTGCATTATAAATGAGAAGAAGAAACCTTTTAGGCCCGTGCAATAAGTGGGGCGTGGCTTTTAAGTGAAACGACAGAAACCGTTAGACACACATGAAACGTTTTGCTTTTAATTGTGAATAAATGGAAAAAATGAGGGAAAAGGCAAAAACAAACCAGGAAAAAGATAAAATGTGAATCCTAGATTAAGGGAGGTGCCATGTCAGCACTTATTGGCCCTCCTTTATATAGATATATAGACAACGGAAATCTTTAGCGAGATCTCGTTCGTCTTAATCCTTAAAATCAAATTTTATATTGGACAAAGTTACAATTTAATTATTTTTCTAATAATTTAGGACTTTAAAATCAACCAAAATTTTATTCATTTAATCTTTTCTTATTGAACTACGTATATATTAATACTTAAGACTTTAAAATCGATTAAAATATTACCTTACACGAATCAAACAATCAGTTTTTGGAAGCGTACCTACGATTTGCTAAGAATTTCTTACCATACCCTACAAGGAACTAATGGAACGGGTATTTACTGGAAGAGTGGAATGTAAAAACTTGTCATGTATTTCTCTTGAGATTGTTGTGCATTCAAGGTGTTTTATCTATATATTACTTTCTTAGAATACTACTTATTTATTTTTTCTATTTGATGCAATTGTTTCATCTCCTTGGTTTATGTAAAAGTTATAAGTTTTTATAATAATTGATCAGAGACTGAGACTGTTGGCAAACTCTGGTAAAATCTTGTTTCTCAATCATATAGAAATTTCTAAGATTTATATGGGTATGCGACTTGAGATAGGTTGGTATTCAATTTTTTTGTGCTCATTTTTTACTTAAGTATTATAAAACAATAAAATAAGAAGAAGATTATTGCAGAGAAAAGTTGAGAGAGGTGATTCTTATTGATTTGAGATGAATTACAATTGAATAGGACCCCTCTATTTATAGGAAAACGTGACTTAGCCACTAAGTAACAAACCCTAAAAAATCTCTAAAATATAAATATTCACCATAAATAAAATACTATTTATAATACTCCCCTTGAATGTCTATTCAATAGGTAACGTGTCTCGTCAAAACCTTAACTAAAATAAAATGCAGTGGAAAAAAATTCTTAGTAAAAGAAAAAGAGTACACGTGTTTAATAATACATCTTCTGGTTGCCTCGTTAAAAACCTTGCAAGGGAAACCCATTGGGACAAAATCTTGTAAGGAAAAAAGAGTACAATGCATATTAAAAGTGATTGCACACACTATTGACATTATACTTTCGAGTGCTTGAACTGCAGGTCCAAAACTACATGTCTTTCATATGAAATCAATTCTAATTGAATTATTTCTCCAGACTTAAGATCCTTATATATATATATATATATATATATATATATATATCATAGATGTAATCGACAAATATTTTATATCGGTTTCAATATTTTTTCATAAAGACATAACATAGAGATCTCTTCATTCATATTTTCAGGTACTTGAACCTCTCCTCAGGTTTTATGAAGTGTTATGTCATGTGATCTTCTAGATCACTTGCCTCCTTATTATGATCACTTGATCATCTTCTTTATCAATAAGTTTATTTGAAACTGATTTGTCTATACGCTTTAGACGTACCGTAGATTTTGCCCTTCTAGGACTTAATCTAATGGGAGCATTTACAGTGAGAATATAGTTACTTTCTTTGCGTTAACAAATCCATCTGGAATGCTTTGCAATATATTGCAGATGAATTATCTTCTTATGAATTTCGAGCTTGTACTATTTTATTTGAGGATCTAGATGTACAAATAATAATTCATTTCACGTAACTTTTTCTTAAGTGTTTATCCGGTCTCCCCCTCATGTTAGAAAAACTAACTTGCTTCCTCAACATTGAAAACTCATATTTGTGTGTTATTGTGTTAATCAAATATACCCCCGCGCATCAATAATAATAAGATGGAATTATTTGATTCCTGATCCCGAACCACTTGTGAGGGGAGAATATAATATACTTGCGTATATATCGTATATCAAACTGATATAGATAATTTTATTCTCATAAGCAATAGTTTAGCTATTTAATGGAGTCACTCAATAAATTATTTTGCTAAACCAACTGTGATATAAATCAACTTATCAAGATGAACTGTCTTGAATAGAAAATTTAAAAATTATGCTCTAAATTAAATTATTGAGTAAGTTACCTCACAAATACCAGGTTGCGGGTTAATAATAAACGCACATGTAACCATGTCATAGATGCATCTTATGTGGTATACATGGCAAGTGAATGGACCCATATTCACCTTTGATATTTTCAGCATTCATTGGATTCAATCCTAATTTTAGTTGGTCTATTAATTAGTGAGAACAAGTAACATAAGAGAATTCGTAAAGAACTTTCTAGTTCTTTAATGTTTACCCATGTGAATGCTCTTTTATTTTTGCACATCATACTTAAATTAACATGGCTAAGCCAATTATGCCAACTAGATAAAATTATCAATATTGATAAATTTCAGGTTTATACCATGACGTATGCAATTATCAATAAACTTCAAGTTTATTATGATATGAGTATTTATATTAACAAACTTCTATTTTATTGTGGCATTCTTTTGTTTGTGTAGTACAAACTGGAGAATAAAGCGGACAGCTTTTCACATACATATTACTCCGCTACAAGTTGTACTAATAAAAAATATTAAATCGTTCCTTTATTTATAGTCTCAATATAACCAATCGCTTTCGCGAATACTTTAGAAACTCAATAAGTTTCTTACTACGATACAATACATTATTGATAATCAATTTTATTCCTCCAAAATAGTATATTGAATGTGTTTTTTCCTGGATGCTCTATATGAATCCATTGCTATTCCTTTCCTCCACCGATAAAGGTTATGGCTCTTTCAAAGCTCTCAATTAATTTGGTACTACCACATATTCATCAACATCCATATGGTGAATATCTCTTTTAAAGAGGAAGTTATACCATTATGGTCATTGTCAAAATTATATGCAGGATATGTTTCTTGCATTATTGTTATCCTTTAATAATCTCATTGCAAAATATTTTGGCGTACAATAGGTGCCACGACCCAAAATCCTTGAAAGGTCTTGATGGCGATGGACACCACTGTCAGGCAAGCCAACACAATAATTAGTAAATTCTCATTTTAATAATTCTGAAATCGTAAATTTTCTTCAATTAAATAATAAATGGTGAACTTCACAGAGTAAATAATAATATTTTTCGCAAATTTTAGTACTGAATAATCCCATAATCATCCTAGAACCCGGTGTCACAAGAGCATGAGCATTTACTAGGGAACAAAATAAATACAATAACTGTCCGGAATACAAATTTGGACAGAAGAAAAAAAAATACAAATACTCTGAAGGAGACTCCGTTGGCTGCGGAGCGTCGTATAGAATACAGCTCATCTAAGTCCCCGCCATAATCGCGCTTCTGCGCTCACAAGGCCGCTAAACATATGTATACCTGCACAAAAATGTGCAACAAGTGTAGCATAAGTACGTAAATCAATGCGTACCCAATAAGTATCCCGCCTAACCTCGAAGAAGTAGTGAGGAGAGGTCGACTCAGACACTTACTATGGGCTATAATTAATATACCAATGATATGATAAATTATGGATTTTATGAGGCAACGGTAAACACAATAACATGAGGCAAGTAAATAATTCTCTCATTAATAGGGGATTTCCAAATTTATTTTCATCTTTTAATAATTTATATTTGTTGATATCCAATTTTACCCTCATATTTTTCAAATAAGTATATATACTTTCAAAATGACATTTTTCATCATTATTTAATTTATAAAATTTATACAAGTATTTTTTATATTTTTTTCATAATTTTTAGAGCTTTAAAATTAATTTTCTTGTATTTAAATTATTCAAATATTTATTAATTATTCCTTCAAACTATTTTGGGGTGACTTAATCATCCGAATTTATTATTTGTACCTACATGTATATTTATAAAATTTTACTTTATTTTATATAATATTTGCATTCTTATATCATTTGCATATCGTTTACAATAATAGCATATATTCTCCACAATTAGTTATATCTATCATATTTTCTTTGTCAAAATAATATTTTTTCTATTTTGATAATCTTAATTTACTATTTTAAGTTCTAATTTTACAAAATAGCATTTCACATATGTATTTAACATTTCATAAAACTATTTTTATTTTTAATTATATCTATTTTTAAAATAAGCCCCTAAAGTCTTAGTCCATTTTCAAAACCCACCAAGAAAGCCAAATTAAATCAAACATTTCCAAAACCCTTTCAACAACCTTCCGTCGGCGTCAATGCGTCTACGACAGCAACATCTCATTCTTTTCTCTCTTTTTTTTTTTTTTTTTTTTAAATTTTAAGTTTTTTTTTTTTTTTTTTTCATTTTATGTTTTCATTCCTTAATTATTCTACCCCAATTTCCTAGTCAACTGCCCCAAATTGCGGACTACAATCTCTCCTTAATTTATAAAATCAAAATCTCTTTCTCCTCCTGTTTCCATGGCAAGAATGTATTCGAAAAGAAATTGTAGAGGTTTGAGGCCGAATCTCTTTGAAGAATCTGTCTAAGTTCATGATGGCGTAGACTGGCTTTTCTTTCCTGGTATATTCTTTTAGCTAATAAGGTAATGGGTTAATTTTATGCGTATCTTTTGGTATTTCTTTTTCCGAATTAGTTCTTTCCCGAAAGATTAATTAACTGCAGATTTTTTGCTAATTGATTCTGTCTTAATCAATCTTTTACTAATTTGCAACCTTAATTTTCGAAGCGTATCATTCTTCTGATTCCTTTTTTTTTTTTTTAAAAAAAACAAGTGCTTATATTACATGTATATACCTGTGGGTTTTAGTTTATGAAGGGGGACCTTGAATCACGATTTTCACTATATAACTATTCTATTCTCCTCTGTTCTTCCGAGGTACAAATCAAGGCAGAGCTTTAGTCTTTATCTTCGTTCGAGACAAAGCTTTAGTCTTTATATTTGCTCGATACAATCAGGGCCTATCGAGTTCGAGTATTGGTTTCTCATTATTGTTGTTCTAATTTTCGCACGGGTTGTGGCATATTCCGAAGAGTAATTGGCTTATTTGTCGCTATTGAAGTTACTGGATTCCTAATCTTCTTATTATATTATTCCGTTCTCCAAATGGTTAGTTTCTTAAGCAATGCATTACTATCCCTTGACGTGCTAGTTGTTTGTTAGAATAGACTAGTTGTCTTCTTTAGTTTTTGTCTCTCTTTTACTTTCTTCTGCGATTTGTTCGCGCTTGGTTATGCTGAATGCTGTACGGCATTCTTTTGAAATGCATACCAAGTAAAATCTCAGGTACGTCACTTGAATCTCCATATGTGCCTTCCTTCTATGCTTGGTTTAAAAAAATTAAGCAAAACCTTATGGCTTGGTCATCTATACATCATGTTCTGGGACTAACCTTGCTACTTTTAAAGTTGTCTCCCCAACTTGATATATGCCATGCTTATTTATTTTTTTTGCTTGTTTTGAATATCTAGATGGTCTGAGATTGTATAATAATTAGTTAAATACTAGAGATCCTACATTGAGGATTCAATGGTAAATGAGGTCGACAATCTGTTTGTGGCAAAATCTATCTAGATGTATGTCTTTAATGTGCTCTTGTATGACTGATAGGCAAATGGCCTGAATTGAATATTAGATATCATGCTCTAATGTGCTCTTATATCATGCTTTTAGGAAATAACAATAATCAAATCAAGTATGTGAGAAGTTATAAGTTTATTCAAGAATTGAATGCTGGCCTGGTCGCTTATTTCTTTCCCATTAACATGTATATTCATATTTGTGTGAGTTGACTTGACAGGGTTTCAAACTCTAGTTTGGGCTGAGTTTTGGATCTGGAAAGTTGGGAAGGTCCTAAGAGGAGTCTTCCAGAGAGACATGGATTTCATTTAGGCATTTTTAGGCTCATGTTATATTTTATTCTTGTAGTTTTTAAGCTCTATATAATAGTGAATGGGGGTTGCTGGGAAAAGGAAAAATCATGTGCTACTCGTTCATACGCCTATTCTCCACTTATGTGTGATGACCCAAAATGTCATATTATGTTTTAGAACTCGATTTTGCGTTCTTAAGCCTTAAAAATCTCATTTTTACTCTCATTGATTTGCGTGCGCAGTCCGAGCATGTTTCCGGAAAGCTTTTATGTTGAAAATTGATAAAAATAAGAATTTATGCCTTAATAGTTGATTTTAGTTGACTTCGGTCAACATTTTTGGTAAACGGGTCGGGATCCATGTTTTGATGGTCCCGGTGGGTCCATATCGAATTATGGTACCTGAGTGTATGCCCGAAATCGAATTCGGAGGTCCCTAGCTCGAGTTATGAATTTTTGATGAAATTAAAAGTCTGAAAATAATTGTTTTTAAGAATTGATTGATGTTGGACATTGTTAGTACCGGGTCTGTATTTTAGTTTCGGAGCCCGGTACAAGTTCATTATGATATTTAAGACTTGTTTGTGAAATTTGGTGAGAAAAACAAAGTTGATTTGACGTGATTGGGACGTCCAGTTGAGAAGATGGGAATTTTAAAGTGTTCTTGAGAATTTCATTTGATTTGGTGCTAAATTCGTAGTTCTAAGTGTTATTTTGGCAATTTGATCGCGCGAGCAAGTATGTATGATGATTTTAGACTTGTGTGCATGTTTGGTTTGGAGCCCCGAGGTCTCGGGTGAGTTTCGGATAGGCCACGAGATGTTTTGGACTTTGGAAAATCTGGTTTTCTGCAGATTCTGGTGTTCTGGCATGTCCTTCTTCGCGAAGGTCCTTTCGCGAACGTGAAGAGTAAACTGGTCAGCTGGAATTTTCTTCTTCGCGGACGCGACCAGCTGCTCGCGAATGCGTAGTGTTAGGCATACCTGGGGGAGGGTTGGTCCTTACCTTCACCGAGAACGCGAGCAATGTCTTGCGAACACGTAAGCCGGGGAGGGGGGTAGCCTACGCGAACTCGAACAAGGTCTCGCGAACGCGATGAACACTGTCACCCAGCACTTAATAGATTTCAAAAACGGGAATTGGCCATTTATTCCATTTTCTCAAAAACCAAACGGACTAGAGGCAATTTTCAAGAGTTATTTTCTTCCCCAAAGTGTTGGTAAATGATTCTAAACTATTTTCTTTCAATTACCCATTATATTTTATAAATTTTCAATCTAAAATTTAGAGTTTTCATGGTAGAATTAGGAGGCGCTATTTGTACATCATGCCCCTTTACAATTTTGAATTTAAGAAAATGATATTTTTAGATCTCTTATGTATAAAAGACACATCTCTTACGTGTAAAACTAAATCTCCCATGTGTAAAAAAAAGAGGTAGGGTCATAAAACTAAAAAAAGTTTGTAAAGAGCTAAAAAATCAATTAACCCGAATTAGGGGTTAGGGTATAGAAACTAGGAATTTCGGAAATTTAGGGATTTAGACATCAACTTGAGGTCATATTCCAAAACCAATTATATATTCGGGCTCGGGGGTGAATGGGTAAATAGATTTTGGTCTGAACCTCGGGCTTTGACCAAGCGGGTCCGGGGTTGATTTTTTGACTTTTTGGAGGAAAATTTGGAAAATTTAATTTATGCAATATAATTGATTTCTTTAGCAATATTTGATATTATTGAGTCATTTTTGAATAAATACGAGTGGTTTGGAGGTGAATTCTAGAGGAAAGTTGTGGTTGAGAATTAAGTGGCATTCAGAGCGAGGTAAGTGCTGTGTCTAACCCTGACTTGAGGGAATTAGGAACCTCAAATTATTTGCTATGTGAAATTCATGTGAGCTGCGTATATGTGAGGTGACGAGTACTTATGCGCCGCCGATTTACCTGTTTGTCCCTGTTTTCTCCCATTTTTCTTACATTGTCTCTTTTATATGCCTAATTGCTACGTGTTTATACTAGTGTTGTTAAATTGATCGTTCTTATCATGTTTACGGATTTTCTGGTGATAATTGAGAATTTATTTCAAAGTTGAGATTGATATTGTGGAACCAAATGTTGAAGTAAGGCTTGTACTTATTATTCTATCTCCCTGTTGTTATTTATTCATTGCATTATGGTAATGAAGAGTGTTAATGCACGAAGGGTGATGCCGTGCCATATTGTGAGTGTTAATGCACGAAGGGTGATGCCCTGCCATATTGTGAGTGTAAAAGCACGAAGTGCCATATTGTGAGTGTTAATGCACGAAAGGTGATGCCGTGCCATGATATGAGAGTTAATGCACGAAGGGTGATGCCGTGCCGTTTTTATTGATTTTATGGTGAGATTGAGAGTAAAAGCACGAAGGGTGATGCCGTGCATTTTTCCTTTACTGTATTCGTGCTCCTGTTGATTCATATTATATTGGTTGTTTCAGTTCTCATTCTGCTGTAACTCTTTACTTCGTATTTTCCCCCAGCATGTATTCCCTTCCGTTAATTCTTGTCTAGTTCTTCATTATTGTTATTTGTATATACACTATTAAATTGTACATGTTGATTTGTAGGTGCCTTGCCTTGGCCTCGCCACTACTTCATCGAGGTTAGGCTCGACACTTACCAGTACATGAAGTCGGTTGTACTGATACTGCACTTTGCACTTTCTGTGTAGATTTTGGTACCGACTCGGGTTGATCGAGATTTTAGCCGTTGGACCCGCTATTCGGAGACTCAAGGTAGATCTGTCGGCGTTCACAGACCTTGAAGTCCCCGTCTATCTTTTCAGTTTTACTGTTTCTTTCATCCAAACAGTTGTATTTCTTTCAAACTATTACTTGTAATGAATTCTAGAATGCTCGTGAATTGTGACTCCAGATCCGAGTAGTAGTATTTAATGCAGTCTTTATATTATTTCGCACTCATTATATTTCACCTTAGCTAAATTGCTGTTATTTACTGAATGTGATAAGAATTAGTTTAATGATTTTCTAACGTTGGTTTGACTAGCAAGTGAAATGTTAGGTGCCATCACGGTTCCGACGGTGGAAATTTCGGGTCGTGACAAGTTGGTATCAGAGCACTAGGTTGCTTAGGTCTCACGATTCACGAGCAAGCTTAGTAGTGTCTGGAAAATCGGTACGGAGACGTCTGAGCTTATCTTCCAAAGGCTATGAAGTTTAGGAACAAATTTCACTTCTATTCTCCTCTGTCGTGTGATGTTGTTTTCTCAATACTAATTGAACTCTTTTACTCTTATTCTCTCGCAGATGGCGAGAACACATACCGCTTCCTCAACTGAGCAGCATCCAGAGCCTCTAGTGGCAGCTCCTACGAGGGGCAGAGGTCGAGACCGTGCCAGAGGCCGAGTCAGGGGCAGGGCTCAGCCCAGAGCTCGAGCAGCAGCCCCAGCAGTGGAGCCTCAGATAGATCTTGATGAGGAGATTCCAGCCCAGACTATTCCTGCCGGACCAACTCAGGTTCCGGAGGGGTTCATTGCCACCCTAGTACTTCAGGACGCTTTGGTCTGTTTGGTGGGCCTTATGGAGAGTGTGACCCAGACTGGCGCATTTTCCATGGCACCAGCCGTCTCTTAGGCTGGAGGAGGAGCCCAGACTCCCACTACTCCTGCTCTACGATGCAACCATCTACATCCATTCAAAGATGTAGCGCCCCCGGCAAAAAAAGAACGTTAGTACTGTCGAATAGTACTAGTATGTAAGGCAAACACCAATCTTAGTATAATGAACGGTGAAACACCAAGTAAGGATCACATAGTTTCCAATTCAATCTTTCCATCTTTTTAGATTAATAATCTTTAGTGCCAAAGCCACAACTCACAATGCCACCGTATTTTTACACGGAGTCCGGTCTCGGCCCGACCGGCTAAGCCATCTCAAGTGAGACATATCCATATCCATAATATAAATCAATAATTCCAACACAAATGCTACCATGTGTATAACATGGCGTCCGATCTCGGCCCGATCGACTAAGCCATCTCACTTGAGACATAACCTCTTTCAATTGTTCACCCAATTCATATTTCTTTCCCATCTTTCATTACATGGCACAAACAGTCTCATTTCTTAAGTAGTTCTTGGCACTTGGGAACATTTTACAATTCAAGTCTTTCCCTTTGTATTCGTTCAAATAACATCATCATTCATGTTGATAAGTACCATTACATAAAACATTTCACACATAAGGGAAGGAGCTTGAAAAATCATGATTTCGTTATCAAATAGCATGATGACATGGTAACCATCTAAAACAATTAGGGAACATGAATCTTTCAATCCAACACACTAAGGCAAAACAATTCTAGTATGATCAAGTTGGAACTTATACCAATTATTCGGACACCAGGAGTTCGATTCTAAGAAGAAAAGAGTTAGCCATACATATCTCAATTGCGCTTCTTTAGACTCTACAATTATCCGGAACCCTTAGCAACCTCAATCTATTTTTGCCATATATAAATTGAACCCAAAATTAGGAAAACGTTCATGGTTCTAGTTCACTTTTTATTTTTCCCACACTCTTTATCACATGCATGCAAGATAAACAACCCTCATACCCATGGACCATCTTATTAATACTCCATTATAGCTATGTTTGAAATTAAGAGCTGGGGTGATGCAGTCTTACCTTTTTGGATGAAGAATTTGGTGTTCTACTTGAATATTTCCAAGCTTTGAGTGATGGTTGAAGATTAATTGATGGGAATTAGGCCCTCCATCTAGAACCCTCTCTCTCTCTCTCTCTCACACTAGAAATATCATAAATGAGCTTTAAAATAGACTAAATGGGTGTTTTAACATAATGGGGGTCAGGTTTTAAATTAAGAAAAATGGTGCCCCGACACAGGTCTGCGATCGCATATGCGACTGTATAATGGTTATGCGGTCCGCAAAGTGACCGCAGAAATGGCCCTCAGGGGCCTAAACTTTCGGCTCAAGTATGCGACCATTATGCGGTCCGCATACTTGTTCTGCGGTCGCATAATGCACCGCAGAACTCCCTCCGCAGAAACCCAAGAGGAATTATGCGACCGATATGCGGTCGCATAATCGATCGCAAAACTGACCTTAAGTTGGCCAAACTTACTGCTTCACTCTGCGGCCATTATACGGTCCGCAAAGTGATTATGCGACCGC